CATGCTAAAACTCTTCAATAAACAAAGAAATTTACAAAAAAATACATGATGAAAATCTTTGTTCTTCACATATATCATGCAATTTTCATTCTTCTTATAAAAAATGAAAAGAAAATTGGAGGTAGCCTTTATTACAGTGAAAAGGGATATGTCAAAACACAAAATTTGGATTTATTCTATCCAACTACGTATTTTATAGGTCGCAATGGGTTTACATAACACGAACAAACGATTGCAATACTGTATTACTTTCTAAAAAATAAAATAATTCTTACATTATGAAATAATTTTCTCGCCATGCTTTATTTTTCCCTTAACACGCGACGTTGTTTTACGTTGAAAAAAGGGGTAGAGGGAGGAAGGGGGTAAAGGAGACAAAATTACGATTTTTATTAATATCATATAATATATAGAAAAATAAAATATTTCGGGGGTTGCATTAAAATGATTTGTAGACTTATTTTATTTTTTTAAATCTGAAGATAATCCATGCATATTTAAGTCCGCAATAAAAAGAGTGTGTATAAATACTTCAACGTGTTCAAAGAGAAAGTCTAAAATCGTTTACTTTTGGTGCAGTGTTTGTTTTTTAATCTCACAAATTGAAATAAAATAAGATAAAATTAATGAATCTGTACTAAAAATTATTCCCTCAAAATTGATTAGGTTCCAAAGTTGTTTATTAATTTAAATATCAAAAAAAAAAAAAGCCAGCTTTCCATGCACAGTCTATAGAGCTACCAGGTAAGCAGGATTAGCGAAACATTTTAGCACAATTTCACGTCATTTTAAGGTCAAGATCAAGTAAATGAAAGGTGCCTACAGTTTTATCAAACTTGAGAAATAAATTCCTTCATTGATGCTTTACAACTTTAGCTTGGTCAAATAAGATGTTTCGGGGCATGATTTGTAGATAAACAAGATGAAAAACTGTATTTCAAACTGTCATTTTCAATGAAAAATTAAGAAAACCAGTCATGAATATGGGAGTTTTTTTCGTATTCGGCAAAGGAAATGTATCCAGATTGCCTACATTCTCTCAGAAAACGGTAATTAGTATGCTCATGGCCTCTTCTTTAAATCAATATCAAATTTAATATAGGTATCCGGTTTACTTTTCATAGGATTTCAAATTGAATGACTTGAAAATACCATTTTTTCTACATAATTCTGCTGAAGCCGTAAAGTACGGGAAAAAGAAAGTTGAAATTGATTATGACGTCATAATGGATCTAGCACCAAAAAATTAGTCTCAAGTTATTTACTAGATCTTGACCTTAATAGTGACGTTATTGTGTTTAATTGTGATGGCAGTCAAGGGTATTATGACGTGCCTGAGTCGACGCTGCGTTAAAACGTATGCGCAGATCAAGTAGATCGGGCCTCGTTAAATAAAGTCGTTTTTACGCAGTCAGAGGTAGGATGATTGCAGGTAATGAGACAGACATTGTTAAGTATTATTTTACGTATGAAACCAGAACATTCTGTGCACATTTTATGACTGGTTAAAGCGACATAAGAAATGTACTGAGTTAAACGGTGACTATGTTGAGAAAAGTTACATGTACTCATATCAAGCTTTCGACGTCAGGTAACGTCAAGGATTTTCGTTTCAGTGCTCCGGTTATGAGTGTGTGTCTTTTTTGTATCTGATAAAAAATTAACTATTTGTGCTTTGTTTTTGTTGAAAACTTAAATTAATAAAATGAAACATGAATTTAGTGAAAATAATAGTTTCATATATTTAATCAATGTTTATCAGTAATTATCAATGTTGTCCACGAACTTTACGGACAACCCTCGTAGTTCTAATATGTTTTTGTGCATTTTATTTTTAAATATGTGTTAGAAATTTTTTTGTGTATGTGTATTCTTGTCTTGGATTATTTAAAGAATGAAGCTAATTTCAACTTATGTTATACAATATAACATAACTTGGGGCAGTTTATGCTTTATAAACCGCGAAGCGGTTTATAAAAAAGCGTAAACTGCCCCAAGTTTTGTTTTATCGTATAACATAAGTTGAAATTAGCTTCATTCCTTATAATTTAATTTCAATATAGACAATAAGACAATTTTTCTTCCAGAATAAGATTTCAAATTGAGCATTATTTTAAAAGTAACGTCAAGCGGAGTAATACTTTTTTGACGTAACTCATTGTGACGTAGGCAAGTTATGTTATCGAAAATATTATTTGTTCCTCTGAATGATTCAGCCAATGAAATAGCTTGATACAAGTGAAATTAAAGTATTATCCATCCATTAATTATAACGATTTGTCGTCTTTTTTGTTACAACAAAATGTTGCCGTGCTTGAAGAATTGTACATTGCCCTTATTTAAATTTAATATTTTAGCATCGTTCTACATACATGTAGGTACATAATGGATTATTTTCCAGAGAAATTTTAATGGATAAAGTAACAGCTAAGTTATACTAATAGAAATATCAATACAGTAGATATTTTTTGCAATTAAATAATTATCCTTCAAACATGATATCTTAGTTATTTAATTAAAAAACATGCCGAATGTCCGAATGTTCCAAATGTCAGAGGCGCAACGAAAACGACCTTGACGTTAAATATTCGAATTTTTTACAAAAATTAGACGGAGGTTCAAATTCAAACTATCGTAATTCAAAAAATGCCGAAAATGAAGAGACCAGTGAAGGTTAGTTGAAATGGAAATTTTCTCCACTTTTACCAGCTGTATTTTGTTTTCCCTATTTCAACACAGAAATAAAGGTAAAACTTTGTTTAATTTAAATATTGCGAATAAAACCCAGAAAAATCACATGCATGAAAGAAAATTCTTGTTTTTACAAAATATTTAAAAATAAAAGCAATATTTTATACATATTTTAAAAGAAGAGAAAATATCCATTTTAAAAATATTAATTTTATTGAAATGATTTAATCAGGAAAAAATATATCTATCGTCAGGAAAATCGGTCTTGCTTTGGAAAAATTGCATCATTTTCAAAATGTCATGGATGTCTTCAAAACGTAAAATCTATTAATTACCGATTAATAAGGCTCGAAATTTTTTTAGGGTCTGAAAGTAGAGGAAATTTTCTATAAGATGATATATAGTATATAGTTTATATACCTTAATGCTATTTTTAAAAAGATATGGAGGTCCTGTTATCGCGTTGTCTATTTTTAACGCGCTATCGGTCATATTGACCGATGCGGTAGAGAAGGGGTTAAAAACCGAGGCCTCTTTTCAAGGTAGGCTTTGAGTTGAGTGTCGAGTAGAGGTCTAGATTTGAAGTTTTCCTAAGATGAAATCTCCATATAAGTGAAAATATCTCCAATGGACCGTAAAACAACAAACAATCAATTAGCTAAGCAAACTTGTCGTTAAGGTAACTCCGCCCTCATATGATGTCATATCATAGGTTTTTACAAAAACTGAAATTAGTGAAAATTCATACATAATAGAAAAAAACCTTTTGGAAGAATGTTTTACAAAAGGTGTAATGATAAATATTGTAAAGTAAAAGAATTTTTAAAATGCATATTTTCTTTATTTCATCAATTATTCAATCTTTAATAATTTTGACAAGGGCAATAACTCTTTCTAATTGTACTTCTATTGTAAATTAGTCTCCATGATATTCACAATTCAAAAGTATCTTATAAGTAGGAAGTATTTAGGAACATTCAGCTTCAGAAATTTGCATTTGGACCAGTTTTGACATGATTTTTATAATACTGTTTACAAAAAATGTGCAATTTTTTTATGCTGACATACACTTCTGTTTATTATGTTTCTCATCTTAAATAATATGGTGATCTATACATTTTTTTTGCAATCATTGGAAAATGTAAAGAATATTAAATGAAAATAAATACAGTTTTGTACATTGAACCATTAAGAATTTGAGGGTGGAAACACCTTAACATTCTTGCGTAATGGGACTCAATTTAGTTTACATGTATTTGAATATTCACATCATTTTAATAGGAGAAGTACGAATTAAATTAAAAGCATTTTTAAATTTATTTTTCAAGAATCATTTGCCAGATAAAATTTTGCAAGAGTTTAACTATATATTGTTAATTTGATTTTGTTCACATTATGACTCTGGGAAGTCTAAATAATAATACACAGCTGGACATCATTATCTGAAAAAAACATTGCGCGATTGGACAAACCGACTTATCAGGTAAATTTTAGAAAAATTATGTCGACTTCTCCAAAACTGTGATGAAAAAAAGATGTCAGTTAGAACATGTAGCTAAACCAAGGGGTATAAACAACATACGGAGATCCTAGTCCTGATTAATTTATCTGACAAGTTCTCATAAATATTTGATATGTCGACATACCTGTCTGATAAGTACACACAAGTCTTCATGAATACCAGACTACTGGTGGCAAAAATATGCCACCATATAAAAGCCATTTGAAACAATATTTAAAAGGAAGCTTATCCTCCAGTATGACTATGTTGCGTCACAACAAGAAATGAATGTTTAATTTACACTGTAGTTAAAATAGGATATATATTTAAAACCTTTTCAAAATCGGGTTAATTGATTAAACATTTTCGTATGGAGGCTTCCAAAAGAAGTGAAAATATAAATTGATTAACCATGTCCCCCAGGTATGGTTTAGCTTAATTTTTTAATCAACGGTTTACATTAACTTCGTTCATTTTTACGAGAAGAAAAGGTTTAAAATCTTTTCAAAAACAAAAATGTAAAGGTTTTTTATATGTTGTGGCATTTTTATGCAACGTTAAGAAAGTTGATAGAATTATAACCCCCGGATACACTGTAGATGTGCCGCACAGTGTGACCAAATTTGTACGCAAATAAAGTACATGAATATGAGGGGAATCGTTGTTCAAGAAAAGCAGGAACACTGCTACTCAGCAGATGTGTGCTCTTGTCAAAGAACCTACATGTATTGAAAAATACTGTTATAATCACTTTATTTTAGTTAACTTCAACACAGATAAAGCCTAATATTGATTTGATACATTTTAGGAAATTGCTCTTATCAATGCGATGTGTCCATTTCCAACATTTGGAGTGACTACTGGCCCCACAAACTGTCAGAACTAGTTCTGAAGTATGGACACCAAGAAAGGCGGATTTCTTTGAAAGAATTTTGTCCACATGATCAATTTTATTTTTCCGGATTAGATGTGCTTCATACATTTAGAGTAGTAACGCTGTTTGTGGATTGTAGCCATAGTAATTTTGGTAAGGAAATATTAATCAGAAACTGTTTTAGTGTTAACGAAATTAATAATAATAATAACACTTATATAGCGCCCTATTTACATCTCTGATGTAGAAGTAGTTAAAAACAACATAAAATTATAGTACGAGATCGTTACTAACATAAGTGTAAGCTAAACGTATAATTCAAGTGGATAAAATACTTAATTGTTAAAAGATTTATATGACTGCAAAATTGCTTTATTAGCTTTTTACTTTTAAATATGTATTTTTAAAAAAAATCTTTTATGTTTTAAATTTATTTTGTCTTTAGATGGCATTTTATATATGGGGTACTTTTTAAAAGTATTTCAGAAGCATTTTATTGACGGTTATACATTTAAAGAATAATCCTTGGTATAGAGTGCAGATAATACTATTTATGCAATTATGTCATAGAGAATATGGTGCTACATATATTTTATTTCTCAGATTGCACCAGTGCCCTCTGCAACAATAATACCGATTGTGGAAATAATGCTGAATGCAATTTAATCTTAAATGGTTGGATTGGCGTGTGTTTCTGCAAATCAGAGTATATCAGGATCAATGGACGCTGCTACGATGGTATATTATTATACCCCCCGCTTGAAAAGTGGGAGGGTAAATAGTAATCAGTATGTTCGTCCGTCCGTCCATCTAGCTGTCTGTCATTCCATCCGTCCGTCCGTTTGTTGCGCTTTGGGGTGCCCATCTCTTATCCGCAACTCCTCCTTACAGAATCTTTATTACATATTGCCATTGTGACCTCTTATTTTACTTTTTGATCTGACATATATTTTGGATTTTCCAGAGCAAAACATGGATACTGTCATTATAATCATATGGGAGGCGGGGTATTATTGAGTGAGCTCATTGCTCACAGTACCTCTAGTTTTATGTTACTATACGGTTTTTCACGCGAACGTTATTATTATGTATCAAATTTAAACGTACGATATGCTTTGATTCAGATATTTATGTTTTCTCTATATTTTAATAATGTAACGAGCGTGGAGCTTACACGTAATATAAACCTTTTTCATGCCCCTGTAAACGAACTTTCGGGGGTATATAGTTTTTGTCGTGTCCGTCTGTCTATCTGTTGGTCTCTCTGTCTTTCTGTCTCTCTGTTTGTCCACAAAAACTTTAACCTTGTCCATAACTTTTGATTTAGTAGAGCTGTGACTTTCATATTTCACATGTGATTTCCTTGTGACAAGACCTTTCTTCGGGTTCCACCAAATTTGACCTTTTGACCTTGGAATTTGACCCACTTTAATAAGAAAAATTCAAATTTTTACTTTGGTCATAACTTTTGAACAGTAGATACCAGGACATCTATACTTCACATATATATGTATATTCCTTGTGGCAAGATCTTTTACTGAATATCACCAACGTTGACCCTTTGACCTTGACCTTGGAGATTTACATAATAATGAAAAAAACTTTAATCTTGGCAATAACTTTTGAACGGTAAGGACTAGAGCTTTCATACTTCACATATGCAATCCTTGTAAGAAGACGCTTCAATGAATACTACGAGCCTTGTCCTTTGTCCTTGACTTTGGAGTTTGACCTAATTTTAAAAAAATAAATCTTGATCATATCTTTAATAGGGTAAGAGCTAATGCTCTCATACTTTGCATATGTAATTCTTGTGACAAGAACTTTCATTTGATATCAAGACCTTTGACCCCTTGACCTTGACCTTAGAGTTTGGCCTACTTTTAAAAATCTTTACCTTGGCCATAACTTTTGAACGGTAAGGGCTAGAGCTTCCACACTTCATATATATATATATATATATATATATATATATATATATATATATATATATATATATATATATATATATATATATATATATATATATATATATATATATATATATTGGAGCAAGAGCATTTATTGGATACCCATAACCTTGACATTTGGACTTTGACCTTGGAGATTTCCGAACTTATAAAAAACATTAACCTTGGGTAGAACTTTTGAAGAGTAAGGGCTAGTGCTTTCAAACTTCATATATGTAATTCTTGTGACAAGACCTCTCATTCAATACCAAAAACCTTGACTTTCTTACCTTGATCTTGGTGTATAACGTACTAATATAATCTTTTTAACCTTGGCCATAACTTCTGAATGGTTAGGGCTAGGGATTTCATACTTCAAATATGTGATTTTTGTTGAAAGACCTTTTATTGGATACAAATAACCTTGACCTTTTGACCTTGATCTTGAAGATTTCTGTACTTATGAAAAAAACTTTAGCCTTGCCTTACCGTTGGAACTGATGGTGATAGAGCTTTCATGTTTTACAATTGTATTTCCAGTTATGAGACCCTACATTGGGTACCAATACACTGTATATTAAATTTGCATTCTAAGAAAAGTTCAGTCTTCACAATATTCACCATACGTGGGCATCAGTGTTTCACAAACACATCTTGTTTCTTTATAAAGCAGTCCAACTTAAAAGATCATTCAGTTTCGGGATTTTTAATTTCGTACTATTGAAGCAAAGGAAGAAACATAATACACGTCTCTCTCTCCCTCTCTCTCTCTCTCCCTCAAAAATGAAAACTAAAACTAAAATTAAATATATTAAAACATGACACAAGCCCTAGAAATCATTGATAATTTTCAAGCAGATGTCACATAAATTACTTCTCCATCTCGTCATCAATATTAACTTGAACTATATCTGAGCCGTACCCTTATTTTACCATATTTATTTAAAAATTTAAGTTGATATATATAGTTTACTGAAAATAACAAATATACCAATTCACCGTGCTCAGAAATATTCAATTATTTTCATTAATCAAATATAGGACATTAATAAGGTAAAAACGGAAGTGTTTTCATAATAATTAACACTATAGAAACTGACAAATTACCAAACGGTCTCAGTTTTGGGAGTTATAATAAACTGTTAAACAACTGGAAAAGATTTGATTAAGGCTAAAATAACAACCTTTGTGGAGATTTATTTTAATATTGTTATTAAATTTGTTTTATTTTACGTATTTTAATTTTTCCGACTAATCGATTACAAATTTTCTAACCGATTACTCACGTTCCGACCGATTAATCGATTAACCCGTTAGAAAATGCCATCCCTATTATTATACCCCCCGCTTGAAAAGCGGAAGGGTATATAGTAATCGTTAATTCCGTCCGTCCGTCTGTCCGTCCGTCCGTCTGTTACGCTTTGGGGTACCCATCTCTTATCCGCAACTCCTCTTATACCACTGAATGAAATTTAATGAAACTTTCACAGAATCTTTACTACATATTGCCATTGTGCACCTCCTATTTTACTTTTTGATCCGACACATATTTTGGGTTTCCCATAGCAAAACACGGACACTGCCATTTACACACATATGGGAGGCGGGGGGTATCATTTAGTGAGCCCATTGCTCACAGTACCTCTAGTTTATATTTATAAAATTTTCTGATGAGTTACATGTACCAAAAATAACTACATTCGGCTGTCAGTTTTAAAGCACAACAGTTTGCAGTATAATTTTTACGTAAAGTAAGGTATTATGACGTAATATTAGTGATATTCATACTCATCCATGATAGTTCATGAGAAAATGAACAAAGTTGTAATTTCGCAGCATTGTTAATGAAAAAGGGGGCGGGGTCTTATTTATACGGGAAAAGTTTTCTGTGACGTCACACAAAAAAAGACTTTTGTGTATTTCTCATGATACCTGAAAATAAAATAATTTGCAACTTTTAACTGTATTAGCATAATAAACAACAATATAACTTATCAATGCATTATAAAAAGTTGCTAGTTAAATCCCGTGTAGCTGGTTAAAAACAAAGCACTGATCGCATTGAACTTGTAAACATGACGTCATATTAACACTTTGTACTCTGTTCATAGGATCTATATATCATTAAGTACAAACATAGAAGCATCATTCTTAATTGCATTTATGGACCTAGAACGTTTTAATTTTTTTAACAAATTAACCAGAGATCTTTTTCATTTATTTTAAGCATGTATCTTCTTTTTAAATTGTCCTTTTTTTTTTAAATTATGCAAAGAATGATTGAAAAAACTTGATATTTCGAAATAGGGGGTGTACGTATTTAAAAGGCTGAACATTTTGTTAATTTTTTTTCTAGTCAACAATAATAAAATATGTGTTTTTGTAAACCTTAGATATAATTCTTTATAGTTTTAAAGAAAAAGTGGCAAATAAACAACTTAGATTTTAAGATATTTAAAAATAAAGAGATTTAGGGATTTTTTTTCTGATAGACGTGGACAGATTCAACATCGATTTTTCAATATTTTTCAGAGAAAATTTCAAATATTTTCCTGAAATATTAATTATGTTTGTTTTTCCACAAGATTTAATATGGATTTGATGTGATTTGGTGCATAGCAAATAAATATGATATCAGACTTCTTTATGTTCACTTTAGGTAGGTACTCTGAGACATGTTGTATGAAACTTAACCTGCAAAGATGTGTCTTTTCTGTGTGTTTTAGTTAGTTTATGAGTTATTTAAGATATTTAAATAAAACAATTCTTAGTTTGACAGAAAGTTTTGAAAGTACGGACCAACCTTAAGTCAAACATATTTCGACATTTCGCCTATTTACTTAAAAATTTAACTATTAAAATGCGAATTATATTTAAAGCAGCAGCATTTTTTAGAAACTACAATGTATTCAGAAACAATTAATAGTTTGAATTTTTAATTTCAACTAGAGTACATGTATGCCCTTGCAATATCAAAATTTGTTAATGACCTATATTCAGTACACAAACTATGCATTCAGCACGTGACTGTTCATCGATGGGACTAAACTTCATACAGTACAGTTTGGTGTATACTATGCTTTTCCATAAGTATTAAAGTTCTGTGATAATAAAACAGTTTAATTAAAATAATTTCAATTTTAAAAATATCCACCTTTTTCGCTCGTCTATTTTCCGTTGTTTTCTCATAGTAGGCCTTAACAGTGCTGCGTTGAAAGGGATTTTAAAGACATACAAATGGAAATGTAAAGAATTAAGGGAATTAAACGATGGAAAAGTTTAAGCCATCGCGTACATCATGGAGCTTGCAATTGGTTGTTAAATTACCATTAATGTTTTTTTTTTTTTCAAGTAAAATATCCAAATATTGAAACAAATGTATCAGACTCTGTGGTATCTTTTATATTAAGCTGACCAGGATATATCATATAGTCATTAGAATAGAAACTACTGTATGACAATACGTCAAATAATTTAAAAAAATTATGATAAAAAAAAATTCTAAAAGGGTTTCCAGAGAGGACGACCACAAGAGACACAACTTGCCTTACAAAACCTCCTAAACATCAGCATTCATAAATGTCTCATAGGATTTTTCCCCTCTCATATTTTACTCTAACGCTGTTCTAATCAAATAGAAATGCATATTCTTATATCTACTCTTTTGAAACTCTGGAAAAAAGGCAAGAAGAGCTTTTGCATTGTATAGGCTTCGTTCTAATCTCCGTTCTTGTGTCTGTCCATGATAAACACTTCTGCCTTAAAGAGATATTTGGATGCTTTCGTCACACTCATAGAAAATGAGAATGAGAAATTTGCATGTCATTTATTATCCCCTTACGCAACTAGTTGCAGAGCATCGCTAATGTGCGTATGTGTGTGTGTATTAGTGTGTTCGTTACACCTTGTGGGCAAGATTGACAGAAAACCCTTGCATTAACCATTCTCAGCGTTTACATTCTTTTGTGGCGGTATAAAAAGACGAAGCCTATTCATTTTCAAGTTTATTGATGAGATATTTCTTCAGATATCGCGTTTTTACTGCCTCGAAACCCTGATATTTTATGTACGAGTTGACAATAATCAGTTGTGGGAAAGATTGACAGATAACTTTTGTATTAACCATTCTCAGCGTTTACACACTTGTGTGGCAGTATAAAAGGACGAAGCCTATTCATTTTAAAGTTCATTGATGAAATATTTCTTCAGATATCGCGTTTCCACTGTCTCGAAACCCTGACACTTTATGTACGAGTTGACAATAATCATTTCCGCTAAGGAACCAGTTAAAGAGCCGGCTTTAAAGTTTAAAAGGCGTGTTGAGTCTGCGGGAACCAGATTTAAACACTTTGATGAACGTCGCAGTTTTATTACCAAATTCCAACATGTGTCTGGGAATTTGGGGTGCACAGTATTCCAGACAGATGTAAATACAATCCACAAGTTCACTTAATCTCTCGATGTACATTGTTATTTTTCACTACAAAATTAAAATGCATATTGCCTGGAACCGTGAGATATCGATATACTTAGGTAGGTTTAGGGCTGGGACAATATATCGAGATATCGATATATCGTGATATATGTGAGGACGATATGCATATCGATACATAAAAAGAAATATCGAAATATCGCCCAAAAAAATCTTACTTCTGTTTTTCTTTGTTTATTTAACATTTGGGGTTTAATATATAAAATAAATAAGCTAAATATAAATATAGATATGAAAATAAATAATAATTAACACCACTTGAGTAAAATATTTTTGTTTTACAATATATAAACAACTATTTTGAATAAATTGTTCTTAGTTGCTAAGAATTAATTTGTTTATTTCAATGCAAAAAAGAAAGATTTTATAAGAATTAAACATATCGTGATACATATCGTATCGTGGCTCAAATATCGTGATACATATCGATATAGAAAAAGTTGTATCGTCCCAGCCCTAGGTAGGTTTATAATTAAAATTACTGAAACATACATTTAGCATACGTGATATGTTTCTGCTAGGCATAAGGGAAACTGCCCGATTACGTATGCACATTATGTCCCCCACCCCTTTCCCACTAAAACGCTATGCAATTTGATTTTTGTTAAAAAGACATCCTCCACCCCGATAATTTTGTTTAAATAATTTTTAGTGCTGAAAAAAAAATTAATATATTATGTTAAACTTTACTACCCCAAATAAGGTATCAATGTTAACCCCCCCCCCCACCCTTTAGCTAAGACGCTAAGCACTTTGCATTTTGTAAAAAAAAAAAAAGGATCATTAACAACATCCCACTAATAATTTTGTCAACGTAAGGGGGTTGATCCTAATGTTGTGGGTTTGAATCCCTTTGTTGGACGCGGAGACGTTCCTTCGAGTGAAATCGTGTAAACCAATGGCCCATATCTCAATAGATGCTGGCATAGAAAGACCCCTCACTTCTCAATGGTCGTCAGTTCCTATTATAGGAAAGAATGTGCAGCTCTCAACCGGCAAGCCTTAATATGAGCAAAAAATTCCTGCGAGGGACATTAAACAAAATACGTTGTACTATTAACGTCCCTGGAGAGAATTTATCTCTAATGAAATATTACCATTACCACTGAAGTTCCTGTCGCGAGGGGATGCTCCGCTTAGCGGTGCCCTTATTACATGTAGTCATGTTAAAGGGACATGGACACAGTTTCACCTGATTTTTTAAAACTAATTTTAATCTTGAAAAATCCGAACTAATGCACCATTTATTGATCAGCAAAAATTTGAACACCTTATGTTGATTAACAAACGAGATATAGAACTTAAGTTCTTCATAATACAAACAAGGCTTGTGTCTTGTGTATGTTTACATAAGTTATAGAAAATATCATTTTTATAACAAAATGAAATTCAGCAAATCACTAAATACTGTCTAACTGTATTTAGAACTAACATTTTCATTGAAATTATTACATTTGGACGAATATACGTGTATATATACTAGTCTATTAACACATTTAAACAAAAAAAAAAAAATGACACGGACCCTGTTTGCATAACAAAGTTTTGGAGCTATATATCTCTCTTGTATCTCGACAACTTAAGTTCAATTTTTTTATGATGATTAGAAACACCTTAGTTGAATATTGTACAAATAGAAAAAATAGTTTGAATATTTTTAGCTGAAACCGTGTCCATGTCCCTTTAAAATTTTGCAAAACAATCTGATGAAAAAAAAAAGATATTTAATAGAAAGAATACATAAATAAAAATATTACCTCCCTGCTTATTATAAAACAATGACACAATCTTAATACAAATCAAGTTCAAAGCTGAGTAAATTGTAAAAAGTAATATCAACATAAGCAGAACAAAACATACGGAAATTGATAATTTACTCCCAGTTTAGACCCAGTCTAGCTAACTGCATTTCTATGGTAGAACTGCAACTGTGGATTCAAAATAGGAAGCAATACAGAAATTTACAAAAACTAATTAATCATGTTTACAGATATGAAATAAATGATTCATGTTATAATTATAAGTATAATTATTTCTTACGTAGTGGTACCAGTGTTTAACAAGGTTGTTCACATACACTAAAAAAGGAGGGAGCAATAAATTGTACTTGCCTGAAAATTGCGTTGGATAGTTTGTTAATGCCACAAATTGTTCTGTCTGATTTCCGAAGTACATATAACGAACATTAATAATGCTCAAAAATTACTTCAAACAATAAAAGTCAAGTTAACTAAGTTTTATTAAGTTCGTACGTTCTAAGAAGAACATTTAAAATAAAACAATACATTCATAAATCAAATACTGTTGTTTCCTTGATTTTTTCTTCAAAATAAATTTTCATATTTTCGCTTAAAAATAATTTTCCGTACATTTTCTGGTATGCTATGTTTATCGGAATTCGTTTATATGCATATTTCACGAGATCTTATTTCGAAGTTTTTCGCTATACATGTCTAAAACGTAGCCTTTGTTTCTGCTAAAATTACACGTTTACGACCTAACTTTTGTAGAAAAAAAAATTGTCTATAAACTAGCAGAATTATCTTTTGATGGATGATTTTCTTTTTTTTTTCTCTTTTGCACCTTTAATCATTATTATAATCAGCGGGTCCAAATCAGAAATTTTTAAAATAAATTTAAACAAAAATCTGTTTTCTGAAAAATACTGTTATGATTTTTTTTTGTTTTTAGCTAATGTTCCTACTGGTGGAGCATGTGTATCAGATATCCAGTGCAGAGACGGGACCTACTCTGGTGTTTGCTTAGATTCGATTTGTACGTGTGGAGAGGGCTACAATGAAATTGAAAACGGATGTTTTGCAGGTAAATGATCTTAACAAGATTATTTTTTAAACAATTTAAACAAAAGATACACTTGCGTTAAATTTGATTTTAAATGACTGATATTGTTTTCTTTCAAAGAATAATGGGATTTATTATATAAAAAAAAATGCCTGTCATTTGTTTACCTGCCAAAAATTATGTTCCAAATCAGATAAGAAAGAACAATTTGGTTTCTCTTGTTTTAGTGTGCCCTCGACATTTTATGCTTTCAAAAGATTATAAAATTGATGTAATCATGAGTATATGAATGTGATAAACCATGAAGGAGTTTTACAAGAAGGAGGACCATTCTTGAAATATGACAGCATTCAAGTACTTAATAGTACATTTCTAAATTTTTTACAGAAAAATTTCAAACTAACTAATTTCACAGGTACTGTATTTCCTATAAAAAGCAGTGCGCGTAGCCGTCGTAATTTTACATATGTTGTGATCCTCACCATTTCTTAATATGAAGACTGTAACAAAAAACTAACTATCAAAATTTTATGAAATAATTACCATTAAGATTAATTATGACGTCGTATATGACATCACCGAAAAAAAAAACTGATTTTTTTCTTCTTAATGTGCAATCTAATATAAGCAATCATCAGATCCGATACCGCTTTATCAAAGCAAGTCACCAATTTCTATGTTACGGACAATTAAAAATAAGGTTTACAGTAATGCAATGAACTTAACATAAAGTGGAAGACAACAGTAAAAGTTTGCACTTAATTGAAGAGTTTATGCATGATAAACGAAAAGGAACAATTGAACGAATAAGACAATTAAAAATAGGAAAACATTTAGAACGTTACAAAAGAGGCATTGTTCTATAGACTCACAATAAACTGTTTTGTGAAATAACTGAGCTTGTAAACAAATATGACTCAAAATTACGCAAGTCGAGTGTATATCAGACGCTGAATTATGTTTTGAACTTGAACTTTGTTTGGAGGACCATTCAAATCTTTAAAATCTATTAAATACATTGTAAGACCTCCACATTCACCTGACTTAACCCCTTTGACTTTTATTTGTGGGGATATTTAAATGTTAAACTTTTCAAAACACACCCCAAAACAGCTAATGAACTCAAAATGGTTGGGGAAATGAGACCTAATTCATTACGAAGAGACCCTTTGCACTAGTAATGAGAACTCTGCAAGTAAACACACTATCTGCTTTAATTGTACAAAGAAATTGTAGAAATATAATAACATACCTTATTCATAAGCTTTATTCCCAGATAAATCACAAATGATATTCATTTAAATGCATTTAAAACTTTGATTTCTGGTATTTGTTTACATGCATTCTTGTAAGTTACATTTCGCTTTCACTCTGCTAATACTGATAAACAGTTATGACCTCACGGGTTTGTTATTTAATCCCTGTGATAAATACATAGACCCAGAAACGACAAGATTCCGTTTATATTATACCTCTGCATATTTTGATTCATTTTTACGACCTCAAATTAATCTTAAATTTCGATTCTAAGAAATTGTTATCTCTAAAGTTTACGTCATATAGCTTACTATGACATCATATCATATAGGCAATAAGTATATTTGGTAATACCTGCGTATTAAACTAAGCTTGTATCGTATTTGAAACTCTTAAATCACTTGTATCATCTTTGTTTTATATGACTACAACAAAAAAAAAATGTTAGATTGAATTTTAAAAAAGACACCAGTGCATAGGCATCCAGTTGTTCTTGACAAGCAATAAATACACAAAGAAAGGTTTAATGTATGGTTTTTAAAGAACTCATGATTTTGTTGATAATATTTGTACAGTGAAATTACAAAATAAAATTCCCACTTCGTCTTCTCATTGTAATAAACTCAGTCTGGAAATTTTTTTACCAAACCCTTACATTGAAAATAAGCATATTTTAAATCCATATTTCAGGCTTCAGTCCGACAAATGTATTTGAACATTTTAAGCTTATCTTGACATGTTTAAATGCGTATCTATCAAACACTAGTAAGCTATCAAAGCGCTATTTTCTGTCACAGAGCACCTTTATAGGTTGCACACAGTATCAATTCTGCTATATATTCTTACCAAAAGTGCGCAAGTTTGAGTAGATGATATTAATTGAAAACATACTTCTTAGAAGTTTCCTATTCAGATCTTGTAAATCAATTCTTTATAAAGAATTTAGTACCAAAAAATACCTAGCCATCCAGCAAGATTCGCAAGTTTGTTTCGGTCGAAGTCAAGCAAGTGCTTAAAAATCTAGTTCAGGGCCTAATCACTCCCTACTCAAGTACAGTATATAGAAAAATCAGCACGCCCAAAATTTTAATAAATGTGTTTATACAGGAAGTGTACATTAAGTTTTTCATCTCATCAGAAAATCAGCTCCAGTCTCGTACCAAAACTCCCGAATCGGAAGGGAGACTCAGGGATCATTTTGTGTCAGCAATGATTTGACGTGAACTTTAGATTATTGTAGTTGATATTTTTTGTATTTTTGTTTCAGCCGGATTCCCGCTTGGCTTGCGAGGGATGGCAACACTTGTTTTCAGCCTCTGATAATATCTGCCTTAAAAAATGATTAATTTCAAATTATCTTCAAATTTATTATTAAGAAACCGCAACTAAGGTTGTAAGGGTGGGCACGGCCATTATATACCCCAGATTAATCGGTTTTCAGGACAATTCTACAACTTGTTAACTTTTTCAGTACCCATGTGACATGACTGTATGTGGTCATCGTGTGATCAGTGTTTTCGTAATTCTAATCATGAATTAACCTTTGCCAAATTAGAATTTCGTATTTAATATCTTCAATTTAAGACGTGATCAAAGTCAATAGGTTTGACCAAAATCAACATTGTTATCCCCTGAGAACACTGACCACTTACATGTACATGAAATACTTAATCTATTGATAGTGATTGATTTTATTACTCAATCTCTTGGTCATCTTAACAGTACCAAAAAGTTATATAACATTTGGCCTTGTACTGGATATATGAACACATTGAAAATAAATAAATATTGAATTTGTACTCAAAATTACATAAAAAATGGAAAATATAATAAAAATTCTATATTAATACTATTATGACACCTGCAGGATTTCGGTGAATAAAAAAGAAACAGACAATTTATATAAGAAATGTTTTGTTTCAAGATTTGTTGAAGGTATTTAAAAAAAAATGGTGATTTTTTTTTTATTCAGGCATCATTAACGCCAGCCAGGAAACGGTTGTAATTGGTTGTTTCCTATGAAAGTTTTAAGTAGTCATGCCTTTCTGTCGAGTTAAAAAATTATTTTAAAAAATTTAACATTATATAGAGTATTAATAAAGAGTTTCAAAATGATTCACAAAACAATCTGATAATGATATTATATGAAATACAAAAAAACCTAATATGTTTATTCTGTTAAATGAAATTTTAGCTGATAATCCTGTTAATGGAATATTTGTGCCTTACATCCAGTGCAAAGACAGAATTTTTTCTGATGTTTGTTTGAATTCGACATGTCGATGTGGAGAGGGATTTATTTCAAAAGAAAACAAATGTCTTGCAGGTCAATGATCATTCACAGGATGAAAATCCACCATTCAGTCGACTGAATGGTGGCTGAATGGCCACTGAATGGTCACTGAAAGGTCACTGAAAAGACCCTTTCCCGTGACC